TATTACAAGGCACTTGCTCTTAAAGCACACTCTTTGTCCTACTATTCAACTGAACGGTGGCAAGAAAAAAAAAAAAATCTTGTGGGCAGAAACCTCGAGTAGAATCGACTTATGATAGACAGCCATCTACCAAGACTGTGTTAGGTTTTGTAGTAGGATCAAGAGGTGCAAAAACAAAAAGATGGGCAGAAATGAGCAGAGAACAATATGTTGAACAAAATAATTAAAAAAAAGCTCATTAAGACTTAAAACAATAGAGCTTATCATAAAAGTAAAGATATTTGTACTTTTTATAGGAATAACAGCGTAATGATAATAGATGAAGCTTGCATTAATATGGGGCTGGGCGATATAGCCTCAAACAATATCACGATATATTGAGCAGTTCACCTTGATAACGATAAATGGACAATAACTACTCCACAAGCTGCTCACCCTCTCTCACGTTAACTTCGTCTTCTTCAGCTGCCGCTCCAGCTGCTACAACTTTTGAACCGTCCTCCATTTCCTCACCTGTCTTTCCCTCTTTGTTACGGACTGGATGGGGTGGAGTCACGTCTCCGGCGTAGGACAGCGTCTTAAAGGGACATGAGACCATAGCCTACCTACACACATCCAAAACAAACTTTTACTTATTTATTTTTAGACACCGAATATACTGATATAGGCAAAATGACGTCAGTTGTTAGTAAATTTTGGGACAGTAAATTTTCGGTTTATTGCCCAGCCCTACATTAATATGTCTTAATATAGACCAATGTGTTTCCTTTTATATGGAAACACATGCTCTAAATAGAAGAAATATGAATGCATTGCATTGTCAGACAAAATGAACCTTTTTAGACTACCTTCATACTTAAAATAGTTTAAGTTGACGGATCAAATATTAGCATCAACAAATATGACTGGGTAGGACCTTTAGCATCAATTAAAGTAGATGAAATGTGGATAAATGTTAGTCTTGTAACAGTCATGACAAAGGTAAGATTGGTGTTCAAGTTGAAGTCAGGCAGGTGTAAAAGGAAAATTACAATCAACAAACTTAAGAAGGTATGGAGTAGTAATTCTGCCATTTTGACACACCACATGCATGACCTTTGCATGATACTGCAAAGGTGGGAAAAGTCTATACTTTAAATTGTTCTATGTGGGAGCTAAAGGACCTGATCAAATACAACTCCCACATTCCTGTGACAAAGGCAGCCTTTAGTTGTCTCTGTCAGTGACTGATTGATAGTGAGTATTACTAATGGTCACGAGTAATGACAGTGAAGGCTTCAAACTGCAGGTGCTGTACAGCATTACTGACAGCTGTCAATCATGTAATCATCAGAGAGAAATTATCCCTTGATGCTGTCATTTATCTTTCATTTACACCCTATGTTGAGGAATGATTCAGAACCCTGCAGCTGACCCTGGTAAATTATGTAGATGTTATATGGAAGCTTACAGTTTGTGCAAAACGAAACTTATTTTAGTATCTCCAATCTTTTTTATGTACCAACAACCTCTACATCTGCTTATGACTCCCCATAGCAGTTGAGTACATAAATAATACACATGAATATCGCTTCTTACTTTCAGAAATTACAATTTTAATTCATATTGTGTTCTGTTATGTTCACATTGGCAGAGGTTTTGAAGCATGTAATTTGAACATGACAAAAATAAAAATACAACACATTTAGCAAAATTAGTCGACATTTAGCAGGACTGAGCTCCAAAATAGGTTTTTGAAATGCAAATAACTTAAGATTATATTTTTCTACATGTTCAAATACAAAGAATCACACACAAAAAAAGTGTAAACAAGTATGATGAGAATGTGTGTTTGCACTTCATAGTGGCTTGCTGGCCTGCGGGGAAGTGTAGTAGCTTGATCCAGTTGGTGTTCATTCAGATATAAGAGCAATGAGAAATTGCTAGCTTATCAGACAGTAAGAATATAGCCTGTCAATATAGACTGCAGCTTTAACTCCAAATTTATTTGTGTATATCTGGCTTCCTTGTAAATACAGAGTTTAAGTCCCACATCATGTGATTGTTGACAAGAAATACAATGAGTTTGGACCTTGTCAGGAACTAGAACTCAGCCTCTTTCTCTTCTCAATATTTTACATCTATTTAATTCAGTCAGCACGTAGACCTAAAAAAACATGCATTGCTTGGATTTAAACTATAAACTGTAAAGTTCCCCAGTGACGGGTTTTGACTCTTTCTGCTCATGCATTGTCATATCGTCAGAATTTACATCCGTCTTCTTATTAGTTCAGCCATTATTCTGACTTATAAACCCATCTCTTGCCTTTTTTTTCATAGGCTATCCTGGTTATGTACAGTGATTTGGAAGAAGTTGAATGATATTGGCAGAAACCCTCACAAAATACTAAATCAATGCAGCCATTTTGTTTGTCACGCCATTGTTAGATTTGATTTGTCTAATGTATCTGTGGATTCGTTCGTGTTTTAATGAGATTCAACTTTTCAATGGTAGGTGGAACAGGACTTTTCAAACTCAAGTGATTGACTTTGCGGAGGTCATATTACAAAACAAATGTCTTCAACACAGGGAAAAAAAACTCAGCAAGGTGTCTCCTGCTATGAAGGATACACCATGAAAGAAATTTCATCAGCTTCCTTGTCTTTCATCCAAAATTTATTACTGAGCTCAGATGTGGATCAAAAGTTTGGAGTGGGCTTGAGAACATGTGTGCCTGTGATTTCACCTGATGAAATCTAAGAGAACAAAGCATATTGAGTTGTCCAAGCCTTTGTCCAGCTTATATTTCATCGGGCGGATCAATGTTCAGACAGATAAAGAATTGAGTGGAAAGGATATTCTTGTCTTTTTGTGCTTCATTCTTATTCTGAGATTTGTGATTACACTGCCATTAATTAACACGTCTTTCCATGTTTTTAAATCATGATTCTCAAAATGCGATTTCTGTTCATGGTCATTTCTTCTAGGAACGTACATGTCACGGTGTTGCCATTTTGCTCAATGACTCACAAAGTTCCAGGTGGCCTCAGTTCTCTCTGTTATACTGTTGTTAAAGGTCAGATCTGAAATGTTTTTAAAGGGCATACCTTGTACAAACTCACTCACTGGCACCAAGTAACCGGGGAACTTTTCTACCTTAACAATGCTTTCAAACTTTGAAGTGGAGGAAAGTAACAAGAAGTTTTTATAGGTCTGTAATCTTAAAGATTTGATGTGAACTCTGTAAGATTATGGAAGATACATTTAAGATGAAGCAGCTTTAAAGCCTTTCTCCGTCTTTGTGTCTGTCATTTCTCTCTGACGATTAATGGTCTCTGAGGTGTAATTAGTGTCAATCTGCCATACAGCTCAAATTAATGGATCTTAACAGACTGCTCACAAAGATGCTTACAGCAGACAGTACAATGAGATACACAGATAGAGACAGCAACCATACAATCAAATCATGTTCAGATTTGAGGTGTCTTTCATACAAACAGCATGCAGTTACATAACTCACATCTCCCATTAAACTCAGACACCATTATTTCAGAACTTTGACAAAGAGGAAAAACTGGGACATTATGAAACAGCACCGTCATTGTTTTTTCTATCTTTCAAATGTTAATATGTCACGAATAATGACTGTGTCTGTCTGTCAGGAGTTGCTTTGGTTTGGTGTCATTTTCTCTCGTGTTCCTGTTCTCCTCGTGTTTGATTACCGTAATGTTCCTAATTTAACTGAAGTAGTTTTCATATTTGGTCCTCTATTTGATTTTCCTCTTAATGGAACACTGTCAAATATTAAATGTCAGGTGATGACCTACGATCACCAAAGCTTAAGTTCAACCATTTTATTCCTGTTACTCTGACCCAGATGAGTGTGAAGTCTCCCTTTCTCTGTCTGAGCCCCCTCCACTGGTGGCTGCAGCCCTTCCCGCTCCTTCCTCATCTATACATCCGCTCTCCCTTCCCCATCTTTTATCCCCCCAGCAACAAGCCTCAGCTGTGTCGCCTGCTCTGCTGTCATCTACTGTCATGGATGTGTGTTTCTTCTACAAGCTAGCAGACTTGAACATTAAGATAAGGTTAGGAAAGGTTGTCGGTGGCTGTCTTTCATCACTTTTTCTTTGTTAGCCACTAAATATCTTTATAAATTATACCTCTCTCTAACTATACATCTGATTAGTGGCTGCTGGCCAGTAAAAGGACAGCAGGGAGCTAACAATTAGTACACTTAGGGCTCTATTTTCGTTCGCGCCGGTGAGGCGGCGGAGGGCGGCGAGCCCCGCGCAGTTGTATTTTCGTCTGGCGGAGCCCGGCATAAGGCGAGTTTGGTATTTTCGTGGACTGAGTCGCACGGAGGCGAGCCGAGATCCGCCAAGCTGGGCGTGGTGGCGTGGCAGGGGGAGGTGTTGACAGAATCAGCTGGTGCAGTGACATTTTCGTGCTCGCCACTGGCGTGTAACGTGCGCTGAAAGCTCGCCGATTCAAACCTGGTCAGCTTTCAGCGCAAGGCGGAACGCAGCTGGTCTAGTAGTATTTTGGTAGACCGGCGGCGTATCGACATACGTCACCGATGCCTCACCGGCAGGTTTCCATAGTGTCAGGCACATTTCAGTGCAATAAATAATCATCCTCAACTATTAATCTGAGTCAGCACATACATTTAGATCTATATCGATATATTCTGATCTATATCTGATCTGATGAGCGCGTTTGGCACGCGTTTGGCACGCGTTTGGGCACACAAGCTGACCGAATCAATACAGCTAAAACTGCATCAAATTAAATTAAATATCTAGTAAATAAACACACATGATGAAGTTAACAAGATATGTAATGTGTCTCCTTCCTTTTCTTTCTTCCTCTTATTTCTCGCACAGCTAGACCTGGACACGTCTCCGTGTCCTCTGTCCGTCTTCCTGCTGCTGCTGCAGCTGAACAGATGATTTGTTTCAGTGCTCAGATGCGTGATCTACTTTAAGCCTATATACGGATATTATAATATTCGGTTTTGTGGGCCAAATTTATTTTATATGCCAACATCTATGAAAGAAAGAGCCAGGCCACGGAGCGCGATGCGTCATTTACGCACAGATGGTTCCGATTTTAATGCCATTTTTGGAGTTTATGTTGTGATCTGTGCGCTAAACCCACCTTTGTCACGTGAGGTTTGAATATATGCAACTTTATGTGAGTGTCTTTATTTGTGGAAAAGGGTGTTTGTCTTACCAGTGGGTCCAACATTACGCACACCAAATCCATCTGTGCTCAGATGAGAGAGTGTGGAGGACACTTGTTGAGCAGCTGCCCTCTGTCGCCATCGTGTGGCATAACTGTTTTCAGACATCTCTTGATCTCTTTGACTACTTCATGAAAATAGTAATACGCCTCGCCGGTGGCGGATTTAAAGGCAAGGAGAGGAGCTTATGTGATTGGTGAAAACAGGTCTCGGCTGTGTTAAACACACTATACGCCCTCTCTCCTCCCCGTCTACGACTTATGCTGCCGGGAGGAGCAGAGTTAGGGAGGGGGGATACTTACGCCGGGCTGCGCGGCTCACCAAAATACCAAAATGTGCTTGGGAATGCCTTGTCAGCGCAGCGGATCTGATTGACGCTGCGCTTGCGGCAGATCTCCGGCGAGGCACCAAAATAGAGCCCTTAAAGTCACACAGTGTAATGGCCCAAAGTAATTCTTACATAAAAGTGAAGTGAAAATGCTTTTTTTCAGGACGGTTTAAGAGCATTAGGAGAATAGAAGCCTATTTGTAAGGACACAGGTGTACCTGGTAGTTTGCTTTAGGAGGGTCAGTGTTAAAAAGTGAAAAAAAAAACAACTGATAACCATCAAAGTATTATTTGTTTTAAGACCCACTTTGTTGAAAATCATGTTTTTCTTGTTGTCTACATTTTCATTCAGCATTGTTTCTGATGCTACTGTGAATCTCTGGCAGACCCAAACGGCGGGTTCAGAAACTGTGAGATTCCCTACGTCACGACTGCAAGCCCCGCCCCCGGAGACCCGCTATGCAAATCAGACTCACAGAAGTAGAGAGGACAATAGCAGAATAAGCGTGTGCGCTAATTTTATCAACTTTCATCATGCCCCCAAAGACATAAGTGTCTGAGAGCTGAATAGCTCCTATGTTACCTGCTACTTCTACTAGAGCTTGTCGCTACTGGAGCTCTGCAGAAGAAAAGTCCTTGAAAGTGACACAGGTAATATGATTGTGGCTAAAAACTTCATAATCACAACTTAAAGACCACTGAGAGCACTTTAAGTAGTAAAAAAAAAAAAAAAAGATCGGAGAGAGAATTCAAAAACTACATCTCAAAAATGGCGGTGAAAAAAAGGGCCAATTTATTTCTCCTTATTCTTCACCGAGACAACTTTTATTTAGAGAAAACTCAGAAGAAGTTTATATATTGTAGGTCTGAAAAGGATCAAAGTGAATTTCTTTTATTAAAAATATGGTGGAGGTGATGTATATGTGTCTCACTCAGGTAAAACATGGAAGTATGAAAAATGCAATCCTTGAAAGAGGTACATGCTTGATGAAAGGAAAGGGTCAGAGCTCTTTCTTACCTTTCGGCTATTGAGTGTAGCAGATATGAAAGAATGGAGCCCTTTTTATTTATTTTTTTACACAAGAATATATATATACACTCACCGGCCACTTTATTAGGTACACCATGCTAGTAACGGGTTGGACCCCCTTTTGCCTTCAGAACTGCCTCAATTCTTCGTGGCATAGATTCAACAAGGTGCTGGAAGCATTCCTCAGAGAGCTTGGTCCATATTGACATGATGGCATCACACAGTTGCCGCAGATTTGTCGGCTGCACATCCATGATGCGAATCTCCCGTTCCACCACATCCCAAAGATGCTCTATTGGATTGAGATCTGGTGACTGTGGAGGCCATTTGAGTACAGTGAACTCATTGTCATGTTCAAGAAACCAGTCTGAGATGATTCCAGCTTTATGACATGGCGCATTATCCTGCTGAAAGTAGCCATCAGAAGTTGGGTACATTGTGGTCATAAAGGGATGGACATGGTCAGCACCAATACTCAGGTAGGCTGTGGCGTTGCAACGATGCTCAATTGGTACCAAGGGGCCCAAAGAGTGCCAAGAAAATATTCCCCACACCATGACACCACCACCACCAGCCTGAACCGTTGATACAAGGCAGGATGGATCCATGCTTTCATGTTGTTGACGCCAAATTCTGACCCTACCATCCGAATGTCGCAGCAGAAATCGAGACTCATCAGACCAGGCAACGTTTTTCCAATCTTCTATTGTCCAATTTCGATGAGCTTGTGCAAATTGTAGCCTCAGTTTCCTGTTCTTAGCTGATAGGAGTGGCACCCGGTGTGGTCTTCTGCTGCTGTAGCCCATCTGCCTCAAAGTTCGACGTACTGTGCGTTCAGAGATGTTCTTCTGCCTACCTTGGTTGTAACGGGTGGTTATTTGAGTCACTGTTGCCTTTCTATCAGCTCGAACCAGTCTGGCCATTCTCCTCTGACCTCTGGCATCAACAAGGCATTTCCGCCCACAGAACTGCCGCTCACTGGATATTTTTTCTTTTTCGGACCATTCTCTGTAAACCCTAGAGATGGTTGTGCGTGAAAATCCCAGTAGATCAGCAGTTTCTGAAATACTCAGACCAGCCCTTCTGGCACCAACAACCATGCCACGTTCAAAGTCACTCAAATCACCTTTCTTCCCCATACTGATGCTCGGTTTGAACTGCAGGAGATTGTCTTGACCATGTCTACATGCCTAAATGCACTAAGTTGCCGCCATGTGATTGGCTGATTAGAAATTAAGTGTTAACGAGCAGTTGGACAGGTGTACCTAATAAAGTGGCCGGTGAGTGTATATAAAGAAGATGTAGTTTTTAAATCAGTTTCTCAATCCTGAAACATAACCCACAGAGTTTCTTTCACTTTTAGCTCTTGATCTCATATGACTTCATAAATATGAAACATCATGTTATCCCTGTAATATCAAACAGCTATTGGGAAGGCAGTGACTGTTTTCTTTAACTTTGTGTATGTCTACTCCCTTAAACATATATACAGCATTTATATTTATACTTTTTTAAGAATTAAGATTTTCAATATTCTGTCCAAATAATATGAAAATGAAATGAAACTCTGTCCCAATATTACCACACACAGTGACACAAAGACACACTCAGTGACTTTCAGCTGCTAAAACCATGATATCAGGGCAGTGTGACTTTGCTGCAAGCCCTCTTAGCTTCCATCACCAAGGTTATTAAAAGCAGCTTACTGATCTTTGCGGTTCAGCACAGCAGGGGGTAGAGTGAGAAACACTGAGGAAGTTTTTGGCTTAACTTCGTCTTTGTAGTGTGTAAAGTTTCACATCAAAGTTACACACATGTTGGTAAAACGAGGATTCTTTGCTTTTTGCTCTATGTCCTTTCTCACTATGTGTCCATTTTTTTGATAGCACTTAAACTCTCGTCTGGAAAAGAATTTATATAAAAGGCAAAGTAACACACCAAGGCACACTGACAAAAACTAATATATGCATACACAGGAGGATCTCTGCAGACTTAAAACAGTGAGTACAAAATTAATTATCTAACTTAGAAGTTAACCATCTGCCTTTTACTGCTGTAGCATTTAAGCCACAGAAGATTATTTATTCATGACTTAATTAAAAAAAATGCACCAGCATCAAACAAAGAAAAGACAGTCAGTGAGAAGCTGGTGAGTAATCTCCTTATACAATGTCATACAGACTTACATCAGCAATATAAGACAATGTAGCTCCAGCAAAGTTAAGTCAGGAAGACTATAGTTGCATTTATGGTTGTCTTATTCTTTTCCCCCTCTCATGCTAACTTAGTTTTCCTGCCATCATTGATGGAGCAGTCATTGGTTTATCAATTGTTTCGTCTTCAGCCACTTTATCCAATAGCACAGTGACACATGCTCACTGTCAGGCTATCACTGTTTTTAAATTTGATTTCTTTTCTCTGCCTTTAGCTCTTTCATGCTGATGGTTTGCATATACCTTCCCCATCGCCACCTGGTTTTTGCAGAATCATCAGTTCCCTTCATCATCTATGTTGTCCAAGAAAGTCATCAGCCATCATCACCACCAGTAAGTATGTTTACATGGACTTAAAACAGTGATTTTCTCTGTCATGTATCCAGCTCAGTTGAACTGAAAATGATCTAAGAAGTTCTGTGCATGCTCCAGTATTTGCACACCAAGCTCTAAACTGGTGGTTAAACAGCACAGACGTGTTACTATGAAGCCAGGTTGTCAACAAAACCTTGACGGATGAATAAAGGATGTAAAAAAGACTAAACTTTCCTAACAAACAGCACTGAGCTCCAAAAGTGGCATCCTGTTCGCCTGTTACTTATGTGTTCTGTCGGCTGACTTGATACTTGACAAATCAAATAGGAGACGACCTGATAGTAACAAGCTGAAAGAGGGATTCACGACCTACTGTAGAGGAGACGGACATGCTTCTGTCAATTAATTGATTCTTGCCTAACTGGGATGAAGACAGTAGTCCAGTTAAACTGCCTAATCAAGCTAGGACTGTAGCTTAATTAGTACTAATGGACACTTACACCATGGAGTACTAAGTGTCAGGACTCCATGGGGGGTTTTCCTGCTGCCCCCCAGATAAGTCATCCTTCAATATGAATGCTAGAGACTTTAAGCCGAGCAACATTACTTCGATGATGGTCATAACCTTTCATTCATTAACTTGTCTTTCCTTATAAAAAATATATATTCACCTCTATAGTGAGTTCATTCTGCTGCTACATCACAAAAGCAGATTTAGTAACAGTACTGTGGTTTAGACATGGCTTCTAAAGCTTTAAGAAGGCCGTGGGTGAGATCTTGGTTCTGAAAATGAGGTTGGAGCTGAAGAGGAGCTGAGGGAAGCAAAAGCTGAGCTATCACGGTTAAACCTTTACCAATAAGCCAGTTAAGTAGCTTATCAAATTGTTCAGCTTACATTGAAAGTATAGCTAGCACTGACATGACATCTGCTTAAGTGGTGCCTGTAAATAAAACATTCCCAGTGCAGGTAAACAAACTTTTAGACTGTCTGTTAGTAGCCACAGTGAACAGCTTATTAATGCAAAATCTGTTGTTTCAGACACAGCTGTGCAACCAGTGCACTAATATAAAATGCATTAAGGTATTTTATTGTCTCATTCTGAAGATGGCTCTCAGAGAAGACAGTGACTACCTCTGCTGTGCTGGATATACATTATAAACTGGACTAGTCTTCCAGCACTTTTAAACACTTTTCTCTTCCATACATTCATT